GTGTGGCGGTTGCCACTCTGACCTGCGAGTCCAGTGACTGGAGTTCGAGTGACGGAGGAGCTTCGTCCTATCAGGTGTCTTTAAACTACCACTGAACACCACGTGAAACACTTCAAGCTGCATTCCTCCGACCATATCACACCACTCACACTCGACCAGTGCACACAACTACTTCTCAGTCGGCACGTTTGTCGAGCCGTTTCGTCTGACCGGAATAGTGGTCGTGGTGTCTGTGAGATGATCGAATGGCACACCACCTAGACACAGTGTGTCGAGTCAGATGTTGATGTTGTCCTGGATAGCTTGTTGTGTTGGATGACATAGATGGACGCTTCACTGATGTCAATGTGTCGGTGTGGGTGTGTTCGTGGACGTGTGAGTTGGAGAGAGGGATAGTGTTGGTGAGTGAGTGAGTGAGTGAGTGGTTGGTTGTGTGTGTCAGGAAGACGTGAATTCGGTAGGCGATTGAGTTGTTTGTCTGAGTGTCGGTCTGCTCCACGCGCATGCACGTGGATGTGAGGAAGAGTGAGTGATTGATATTTGTTATGTGTGTGTGTGTGTATGTGTGTAGATGTAGATGATGACGAATGTGAAGGACAGGACGGAGATGAATGTGGAAGTGAGGTGTTGTAGTGTTGATGTTGTTGTTGTTGTTGTTTTTGTTGTTGTAGTTGTGGATCGTGGTAGTGGAATGGATAATTGTGTGAGGTATTGTAGTTGATATATTGTCGTTATGATGTAGGTATGATGTGAATGTGTGTTGTAGTGTGTGTTGTTATGCCGCGAACGTGGCCTCGTGGTGTAGCGGTTAGCACTCTGGACTTTGAATCCAGCGACCCGAGTTCGAGTCTCGGCGAGGCCTCGTGCTATGGGCACTTTTGAAATTACCACTCTCCATGTGCATCACTTCGCAACAACCCTTCGATCACGTCGTCCCAATCACACTTCACCATTGCACTCAACACCACTCCTCAGTCTGATCAATCAGCTGGTCGATCAACACGCTGAACGACACACACCCACCACTACGCATGCCCGTCCCAATTACACATGTCCAGCAGGCTACCACATATGCACACTAATTCCTCCTACTCCACACTTCTGCACCTGCATGTGATCACGCATGTGTGTAATTGAGCCATTGTATTTCACCGACTGTTCCAGTATCGATGCTTGTGTGTGTGTGTGTGTAAGTGTGTGTCGGTGGGTGGGTGTGACATTGCGTGAGCGAGGAAAAGTGAGTGTGCGAGTGTGGGAGTGCGTGAGTGAGTGAGTGACTGAGTGAGTGAGTGAGTGAGTGAGTTAGTGAGTTGGTTGGTTAATGAACTCGTGTGTATGTGATTGCACTGTTGGCGTGCACTGTGGGATATTTTGTGTGAGCGAAACAATGTTGTTGATGGTATGTCGTGTCGTTTGTATGTGCGGTGTGAATGTGTGATGTTATGTGTGCGGTGAGCGTGCATCTACGGTGTGGTGGTGTGGCGGTTGCCACTCTGACCTGCGAGTCCAGTGACTGGAGTTCGAGTGACGGAGGAGCTTCGTCCTATCAGGTGTCTTTAAACTACCACTGAACACCACGTGAAACACTTCAAGCTGCATTCCTCCGACCATATCACACCACTCACACTCGACCAGTGCACACAACTACTTCTCAGTCGGCACGTTTGTCGAGCCGTTTCGTCTGACCGGAATAGTGGTCGTGGTGTCTGTGAGACGATCGAATGGCACACCACCTAGACACAGTGTGTCGAGTCAGATGTTGATGTTGTCCTGGATAGCTTGTTGTGTTGGATGACATAGATGGACGCTTCACTGATGTCAATGTGTCGGTGTGGGTGTGTTCGTGGACGTGTGAGTTGGAGAGAGTGATAGTGTTGGTGAGTGAGTGAGTGAGTGAGTGGTTGGTTGTGTGTGTCAGGAAGACGTGAATTCGGTAGGCGATTGAGTTGTTTGTCTGAGTGTCGGTCTGCTCCACGCGCATGCACGTGGATGTGAGGAAGAGTGAGTGATTGATATTTGTTATGTGTGTGTGTGTGTATGTGTGTAGATGTAGATGATGACGAATGTGAAGGACAGGACGGAGATGAATGTGGAAGTGAGGTGTTGTAGTGTTGATGTTGTTGTTGTTGTTGTTTTTGTTGTTGTAGTTGTGGATCGTGGTAGTGGAATGGATAATTGTGTGAGGTATTGTAGTTGATATATTGTCGTTATGATGTAGGTATGATGTGAATGTGTGTTGTAGTGTGTGTTGTTATGCCGCGAACGTGGCCTCGTGGTGTAGCGGTTAGCACTCTGGACTTTGAATCCAGCGACCCGAGTTCGAGTCTCGGCGAGGCCTCGTGCTATGGGCACTTTTGAAATTACCACTCTCCATGTGCATCACTTCGCAACAACCCTTCGATCACGTCGTCCCAATCACACTTCACCATTGCACTCAACACCACTCCTCAGTCTGATCAATCAGCTGGTCGATCAACACGCTGAACGACACACACCCACCACTACGCATGCCCGTCCCAATTACACATGTCCAGCAGGCTACCACATATGCACACTAATTCCTCCTACTCCACACTTCTGCACCTGCATGTGATCACGCATGTGTGTAATTGAGCCATTGTATTTCACCGACTGTTCCAGTATCGATGCTTGTGTGTGTGTGTGTAAGTGTGTGTCGGTGGGTGGGTGTGACATTGCGTGAGCGAGGAAAAGTGAGTGTGCGAGTGTGGGAGTGCGTGAGTGAGTGAGTGACTGAGTGAGTGAGTGAGTGAGTGAGTTAGTGAGTTGGTTGGTTAATGAACTCGTGTGTATGTGATTGCACTGTTGGCGTGCACTGTGGGATATTTTGTGTGAGCGAAACAATGTTGTTGATGGTATGTCGTGTCGTTTGTATGTGCGGTGTGAATGTGTGATGTTATGTGTGCGGTGAGCGTGCATCTACGGTGTGGTGGTGTGGCGGTTGCCACTCTGACCTGCGAGTCCAGTGACTGGAGTTCGAGTGACGGAGGAGCTTCGTCCTATCAGGTGTCTTTAAACTACCACTGAACACCACGTGAAACACTTCAAGCTGCATTCCTCCGACCATATCACACCACTCACACTCGACCAGTGCACACAACTACTTCTCAGTCGGCACGTTTGTCGAGCCGTTTCGTCTGACCGGAATAGTGGTCGTGGTGTCTGTGAGACGATCGAATGGCACACCACCTAGACACAGTGTGTCGAGTCAGATGTTGATGTTGTCCTGGATAGCTTGTTGTGTTGGATGACATAGATGGACGCTTCACTGATGTTATTCCTTCAGATTTTATGTAACAACAGTATTGATATCATATGATATGTAATAATATAAGTTAAGCTTATCATAAATGGCTTTCAAATAATAACGAAATTCTTCTATCCTCTGCAATAAAATAAACCTTATACATGTAATTTGATTGTATATTTGATAGTAATTCATTGATTGTTTTTTCAGGATAGTTTATTGTACACAAATATTTACTATTGAATTTAACTATTCTTGGTATATTTAACCCAAATGTTTATCGAATTAATTACAAATGATACATTCCAATGACAGTTGACAATTTCATTTGTGTTTTATTATGAACGTAGAAATCTCTTCAGCTACCTTCATGATGATAGTCAAATAAAAACTTTGAATCAAAGGTATAATGTGAATATCATCAGAATATTATTGAGGTTTATCATCTTAAATATTCAGGCATAGATTTAATGTTTACATTGTATACATATCTAACAATCCTTGTTTCATCGTTTTAAAGACCACTGTAGAATATGCCTAACTACTTGGTTTTATATAGAAGTTCAATCTAAACCAAAGAAAACACTTTTGGAAGGAGTATTTATTACTTAATAATTAACCTAAAAACCTGGTTAGTCACTTCCTTGAAGAATAAGCCAGATTGTAGAGCCATTGAAATGTAACTGAGCCCTAGTCAAATGATCCGGCAGTTGGGTCACTGAATATCGAAGAAATCATCAATCCCTGTCAAAGTCAAGGACGATCAACGCACATCAGTTAATCGTATGCTATGGATTGACCCATGCGGTGGTGGTCTCAAAATCTTATTTGTGCTAATTCTTACTAATATATTTCCGCAATAACATCCTTTGTGTTATAACACCTTGATACGTCGAAGGGGCAATCCATTTTAGATACTGACGATGAGGTGTGACTTCAAAATTAGATTTTGGTTACATCATTCCCGTCTAACTTGATTAGGCCGTCAATCATTCGACATATATCATCTGTGTTAGTGATCAACAAGATGAATGTACAATGTTAGTTGATTAGAGCATTATGTATATTCTATATTGTAGTGTATCATAATTTTCTAATTATTTTAACGCCATAATGTTATTCATTTAGTATTTATTTGAACACATAAACATTGGTACAAGGCGAAAGCAAATAGATATGCGTCACATAAATCATTCGATTTGTGTAAGGGCTAGGTTACTATCCGGGTGCCCAAACAGAAGCAGGTAGTTTTCTTAGGGGATCACACTTGGAGCCTTTGACCTAAAGGTCTAATCCACAAGGCAGTGAAGCAACCTGAGGAGATGTGGTACCACGGTAACTGTATCCACCAACCCGGTTAAAGCACCGGGCATTCGCTTTTCATCCCCCAATTACATAAACAATAACCCAGCCACAAGAAGACATTGAGTAGGACTTCCATGGTAGTGGTTGTATGCACATACCCATGTGAGGAAATTTCGAGAGGGAGAGCTGACTCTCCACACTCTCAGCCGTATCAAGGTATTTGGGGGCTAGATATATTAATTGACAAATTCTCATAGTAAACTGAATAAGTGCGTTATAGACAAAATAAACTTCTTTAGGATGTACCAGGCTTTAGTAAGCTCAAAATTTATTCGATTGACGTATATACCATCTATCTGAAGTACACTAAAATCAACAAAAAAAGAAAAACCATCTGAATGAAAATAATTTTTATTTTTTTATTTTTTTTCTCAACCAATGAAAATAAAGTTAATTTTTCTTTTCTTGATCCTTTTTTCTCTCGTTTTCTTCTTTTATTTATAGAATAGAAAAAAATGTTTTTGAGAAAAATAATATTTTTTTAATTTGGATTACAGAATTGTTCTAAATATTTACGATTACAACCAATACAACAACATTGTGTTACAACTTGATCTGGTTCATACATTGTATATAATGTACATAAATCATCAAAACGTTTTTGTCGATGTAAAATTCTTTCTAAATCTGAAATATGCACAGAGTGAGAGAGAAAGAGAAAGAAAGAGGGAGAGGGAGATAAGTAAGTACAATATGACGCAAATCAATACCATATAACTTATTTTATATGATAAAAACTGTTTTAAAAACATTAATATAAAAGTATATCTTACTAGTCCCGACCGTTACTGCTACCTTGACGTTATGGGTGGGCTTGCCTATTTTGATGAATTAATTGAGCTATACTGGCTGGAACAATCGTTCCTCAAGGTTCTACCATGCCAGATAGGTTGGTTGGAGAGCGGTAAAACGAAATACAGCAAACCCAAGGTTTGAAGGCAAAGTCGTACAGCCGACTGTACAGAGGTGTGACGACGATAAGGTGTTTTCCTCAGACAACCAGCATGACAGCGATGCTGACTTCCCACAAGGAACGGTGAGGTTAGAAAATGTAGACTCTAAAAATGCACACCTTGCCTTATCCCACGAATATCCGTCTCTGGCGGTAAGGTCCCAACAAGTATGGAGCTAACACGAATATTACTTATAGAAAGGTTGTGTATGACCAGCCTCAAGAAGTTGCCTTTTTAAGGCAACGCTTTCAGGTCTCTATGACCACCTCTAATCCATTTTTTTCAGGTACCCCCAGAAGAACCCTTTTATGGTGTTGGTAACCGGGAAGTGATAACCGCCCTCATAACCCTGAAAGCATATATATATATATATATATATATATATATATATATATATATACATATATATATATATATATATATATATATATATATATATATATATATATATATATATATATATATACTAATGAGAATAGATTTTGGCACAAAAATTTAAAACTAATCACTTACCATCGATAAATGTTGTTACAATCTTTAAAAAGCATTTGAAATGTATCTCTATCTATTAGCGTTTTACGTAGTGTATCTGTGGATCTTAGATAAATTTTAATGAAGTATTTCCTGTTGATACTCAAGTATTTAGTTGTGTATACGTCTTTCAAAATGGTGCATAGTGCGCTACTTTTTATCCATAATGATCTGTGTATGAATATTATTTTTGTATGTTTATAAGAGCCATATTCCTACATATAAGGAAGATTGTAATAAATTGAAATGCAGCATAAATGTCACTTATTGTTCAATTGTTAATTCACTTCAACGTTGTTTCTTATGATGAATATTGTGATAAAAAATTGTCATCAATTGTAAGTAACGTAAAATTTCTTTCAGTATTAAACAGCTGGCTGTCTGCCTAAACTTTTCTAAATAAACTTGGTAAGACAATAATTGATGGACGACATTTGAGCGACGTCAACTTGACCTTAAGAGTATTTACTTACTTAATAGGGTTAAATGAAGGTTTGAGGAGTAATTATAATGATTTACAGTTGATGGTAAGGGTTAGGATTTAGATTTATGGTTTTCATCACGGACTGACATCAGTTAAAATACCAAGACGCTATGTGAACGAATGGGTGAGTGAATTTTGCGCCAAAATCCAAGACCTGTTATCGTACATCAGATTGATTCGTCAATAAATTATAGTTTCGTCGTAAACATTTACCAAAAAAACATCGTTAGAATATTTCAATATATGAATATAAACTTGTAGTGTAGGTTACTATGTTAATCCCATATACCTTATTCTAGCTTATGGACAGGCCAATGCACTCATTCTTCTGAAGTCACGTTTTGATCGTGTTAATTACCATCGCCTAATATCGGAAGAGGTTTTTGTGGATATTATAGTAATTTTAATAGTTGAGATCATAGGTCATTTGAAGCTAGATGTGGATATGGATGTGTCACTCAATTTCGTGGATTAGTTCTAGTTAGACATAAACGCCGTTGAATGCAGGCTCAGTGGTCTAGAGCTTAAGCGTTCGCGAGATCGATAGGTCCTGGGTTCGGATCTAGTGAAGCGGGGTCGTGGATGTGCACTACTGAGGAGTCATGTAACAGAACGAAATGTCTGTCCAGTGCTTCCAGGCTTTCCATGGTGGTGTAGCTTCAATTGACTCATGATCTTAACTATTAAAATTATTTGCTTGTCAACCCTGGCTGTTTTTATGTAAGTGTATGTAAGTGCACTTCTTATCTTACCTATTAAATGTCTGTAATTTGTTTTTATCTAGCTATAAATATCGATTCACGCTTGATTAAATGGAGGTGGCTCACTTGCCTTCTCCGCCGCTCATCGTTTCGTCTCTTTTCGTTTCTCTGATTGTCTGTTTGGATTAATAATTGTAAGAAATAAACGCATTCAAAAATCCATTCTCGTGTTCGACTTATTTAAATCCGTTATTTACCAACGAGATTTAAGTCGATGAAATATATGAGGATAGCCGACATGTGTATTTTGATGACAATCAGCATATGTATTTGGCATATGTATTTGTACCATTATCTATGTGTTGAAATAAATAATAAATAAATAATAGAACCACTAAAGTGATGGATCCGTAAACAACATCGTCTGATATAGTTGACGTCAAAATGAACAACCGCACTAAAAACTTTCCACAATCATATAGTTACTAGCAAAATTAAATAAATATTATGTTATGAATTTTGTTTCCTGATCAATTGTCAAGACTTTGTAAAATCTTTACACCAACGGGTAACTTATGAGTAGTAAATGTTAAATCATAAAGGTGAATAATGACTGGTTTTTATTTATCAATATTAAATTGAATAATTTCAGAAATGAATTCAGCTCTGTGTTTGAACGATAGTGCCTCACGTAAAGTCGATTATAGGGAAAAGATACATTGTAGGCGGATATCGATTTATCATACTCTAGTGATACTAAATGCCTGGTAGATAATGATCACTTGAGACTTATTTTACCTAATGTTCACCGTAATAGGAGTTATGATTGACAATATGTATGATACAATTATCAATTCATTTACAAGGAAACTTGTCAATAAATTCGGACATTTACTTATCTTTCAATGTGTCAGTATAATTATCTGACATTTTATAAAATAAAGCACTGAATCAATCTTGATAATCAAAATGACGAAATGTTGGATTTCTAAATAGAAGTTTATCTCATGATAGTTATTTTGTTGAATATACTGTAACTAGATAGTTGAAATGTTACACTGAATACATATTAATCGCTAGACAAGCTAGAGCTTTAATATTCTACAGAAATTGATGTACATAACATGTTAACTAATTGCTAAATCTATTATTATTACCATCATTTACACTACTACCCCTATTATTATTATTATTATTATTATTATTATTATTATCGAATAAAAACTTTCCTGATCCTTAAGAAACTCTAGATCTTAAATGATCTCTGATTAACACAACTGAAAATTCGATAATATGTAGTGACTAAGTAAGACTTTTTTTTACTGTCTAAAGGTAACCATCTATAAAACTCTATTAGTTAATCTGTTATTATTCAATCTCTGAGAATAAGATCTTTTTATATCCATTACTAGATCATTAAGAAATAAGGATTGATCTCAAATATTCTAACAAAAAAGGTATACCATCATAAAAGATACAATAATAATAAGATACTTTTATTAGGTTCATTTTTGATCAATTAAATTGTATCTAAGATTGAAAATAATGAATATTAACCATCATTAATGAACGTCATTTCTATGTTCATGGTATAATTGCTATGTGGATTTTTTTTTAGACTTCATTTAATGAATAAATTAAGGGAAGGGAGGGGGGAGAGGAAAGAAACAAATAAACTAATTTCTTATTATTCACTTTATCAGGGTTAATAATGAATCAATAAAATATCCATCTATAAAGAGAAAATCCATGAAGGAACCATCTAATTAACTTTTATGATTTATGATATAGTTTCAGACAAATAAATTTTGTTATAAGCAGGTTAATGTGATTTGCATTAAAAAAACATGATAGTAAAAAGGGACTTGAATAATAATGAATGAATGATGAATTCAATATCAAATAAATCAGATCCAAATTATTGAATGACGATTAAACACTGATTATTATTATCATCATCATCCAAATCAACAATATCATCATCCAAACCATCGTCATCATCATCCAGGTAATCATCATAATCCAAATCATCAACATCATCATCCAGATCATCATCATTATTCAAATCATCATCTACAACATCAACATCATCATCAATAGTACTAATTCAAATGAAAATTTAAAAGAAGCACATTAAAATCACACAAAAAAAAGAAAAAAAGAGAGAAAAGAAGAATAATCTGAAATGTTTTTTTTAATAAAATTATTTATTTATTTATTTGGAATAAACTGAATATCTCATTTAATCTCTTAATGACCTTTATTTGACAATAAATAAATGAGTATAGTAGTTGTAATGACTGATTAGATATAAACATTTCACCAATATTAACTTCCTTTAAGTTGATATAATCATGTTTATATTGAATGAGAAAACAATAAACATGATAACTTTATCCTTAATTGTGTATGTGTGTGTGTCTGTATCTGTGTCTGTATAGGTTGTTTACTTATGTAAGAAGGCTCATTTGAAACAAGAAGATCAATCGTTGTTGTTGTTGTTGTTGTTGACGCCGTTTGTTTTTTTATAACAATAAGTAGTTATTAGATTATTTACGTTTTAGTGTAAAAAAAACGTGAATTATATAATCTGTAATAAAAATGATACAAAGTATTCATTCGAACGATGAAAATCTAGATTTCATCTTTTATGATTGACTAGGTCATTGCTTATAAGTAAAGGTTTCAAAACACAGTGAGAAGGTAGAATGATGTAATGATACAAAGTATTTTGTGCACAACAATATGCTTCTATTAAGCTTTAGGAGTTTTAGCCTTTACATTTATCACTCTATCCAAATAGGACAAAACGTGCATCGTGGATTCCATTGCTAGTCACTATCCATCTTTGCTCATAAAGCTTTATGACTTAAGGCAATCCTCACAGGATGCATATATGCCAATAAGAGACTGCTATGATAGGATATAATTTATGTGATATGAATATCATTTAAATGA